AGGTTAATAAACTCTGATTTCAAAGTTCATTGTATATTCTAAAAAATTAAAAACCCCAAAGAAATTTCATTAGTATGGATTACAGCTATTTGCATTTAGCTTATTAGGAACTAAAACATAAAATTACAACAGAGAATACACAAGTACATATTCCATTACTCATGAGAAGGATGAAGTCAGCACATACAATGACACTCTTGGAAAGCTCCACCACACACTTCTGAGAGGACAGAGTGAAAAAGACACATGGCAGTGTAGTATATTATGAGTCCTGTAGTACCTTTTGAGACCTTCAAAGAACTTTAGTGTCCCCTGGACACACTTTAAAACCTCAAGTGTTAGATTAACAACTACACGGGAACCGGAGAAGCTAGTGAGACAGATCCTAGAAGAGAACAGTCCTAAGCCCAAGGTATTTGTCAAAACACATCCATCATCGCAAGGCCACAGAAGAAATTTTCTTGCCTGTGTCTGTGTCTTTTTTGTTTTGTCGCCCCCCCCCCTCAGTTTTTCAAGAGAGGATTTCTCTGTATCCCTGGAACTCTGAGGACCAGACTGACCTTGAACACAGAGATCCACCACCTCTGCCTCCCCTGCCCAGCCCCTTTCCTTTTCTTTTAAGCGCCAACTGTTGCTAGCAATAAGAAAGGCAGTGCTTCACAAAGGAGTAAGGCACCAAGGCTGAAGTTGCCTTTCTAAGGTCAGCCAAGGTGGCATTTTAATATAAAATCCTCTAAATATCTTTTTATTAACTTCCCCACACTTTTGAAGCACTGGACATGTGTAGGTCCAGGCCTGCTGGATGCACTATATTTCAAAAAGCTAGCACAGAATTGGTCTACCTAGGGTTTGGGGCTTATCCAGCCTGGAATTTCAGAATTCAAGCTAAGTGAATTCTGCTGAAACCTCTAGCACATCATGTGTGTTCTGACATGAGAGTCTACATGAATTTGATGGGTCATAATAGTCAAATTAAGATTAACCTCTTAAATTCTTTGCAGTGCTGTAAGATGCTTAATAAACACTACAAAGCTAAAGAGCTAAAATGCCTGAGGCGTACAGACTCTTGCACTCTGAGAATAATTTAAGACCCTTCTCAAAGTAAGCTGCCCCCAAATGTCAATCTCACTGTTTCCAGGAGGTTCAATCTTTCAGCTTTGTAATGAAGGTATTAGGGAAGATCTTAACCTTGCTCCAGAAGCTCAGGGTATCAGACAATCAAGTCCCAGAACAGCATCTCCACACTAAGTGAAAAAGAGGTTTACCAGAGCCTGGCCTGAAGTAGGTGGGGCCTGGTTAGGTGTCTTGGCCTGTTTCTCCCCTGTGGAGTTTGTCCTTATCCTAACTCTACCTACCTAGCTGACCTTGTCTGTACCTTCCACAGAACTGAAAAGATTAAAAGAATGTGATCATAAATGATTTTTCTCCCATGAGTTTAAAGTGCTGAACTCAAAACCCCTTGGTAATAAACCAAAATGATGAATTTAGGCCTTTCACTTTGAAAATAAACTTGATCTGAACACCTAGAGAGGCATCTATGGTTTGCCTGTTTGTTTTAAATCTTCAGAGTTTCAGCTCATGCTTTTCTGTGGTGACAGAGACAAGTATCAACACCCATTCACAGCAGCTCTTGTATCCCCCCTTCACACTGGGCTGGCCGTGTGCTCTTCCTGTGCCTTTAACTTCATTCTCCTTTACTGCAGTGCTGATGACGGAGCCCAGGGCCTTATGTACACTAGGCAGGAGCTCTATCACCAAGCTATATGCGCAGCCTACTTCCTATGCCTTTGTGCTTCTCCTGGCCTATCATTCCTTGCTATAGCCAATGAAGTCAAGAAACAGACTGTCTGAGGGGACTGGCATGCTGAGCTGCTGCAAGTTCTGTGCCTTCCCCTACACCTTTTATTTCTACCCTTTGGAAAACAGAAAAGTAGAAAACAGAGTTGGTAAAGTTAATGAAATTAATGTCGGAAAAGGAAGGAGGAAGAGGAGGAAGAAAAGGAGAAGGAAGAAGAGGATTCATTACATCTCCTCTACTAACCCACATTTAAAGCAAGCAGTAAACATCTTACTTTGTTTGTCCCAGGCATCTTTACTAATGATTGTATTCAGATGCCAACCCTTACGACAAACAGCAGCATGTGCTGCCCTGTGCCACATCCCCAGTCCTAACCTTCCCAACAGAAAGAAGTTACTGCTCCTAGGCAGGCAGAGCCACATGCTAAGTTCCTAGTCCCCCACATCAAATAACTACTTCATGAAGAGTAAACACAAGAAGTGCCCCATGATTCAATATATACCTAAGGTTTCTATTCCCCTGGCTTCACAGACCAGCAGGCCAAACCATTTAAAACTCACCAAGTAAACCATGGTGCAGCTGATTCAGACAGTGAAGGAAACAGTTTGGTTCTCAGTGACTTCAACAAATGCCCATCACTAAACTGTCTAAGGACAATAAGGGTTACACTTTGGGCCCTGCTACAACCCATTTATAGACACAAGAGATGGAGGAAAACAAATGAAGTCAGTAAGCTGAGCACGGCACAGCAGCAGCTTAAGCATAGGAGCAGATGGCATATTCAAAGCAGACACCTACAAGGAGAGCACTGTTCCTACACCTTGGATGCAGCTGGCATATCTCCTAAGAAAACACTAACTCTCAAGAGGGTTACTGCTCCTAACCATCATTAAACAGTTCTGGTCAACTACTGAAATGATGAAGTATCAAGGCTGAGCCACCTCAAACACCTTAGTGAACCATAAACCAAATAGGCTGTAATTCATGTCAGGCTTTCTCTTCCAATGAAAGAACAGGAAAACTTGACAAAAGTCATGGAGCTTTGCAAAAGGCAACTAAGGTTTCTGAGGATCTACAGGACCAAAGATCTTTCAGAAGAGGCTGGCAAGAAATTCTTTAGGACCAGGTGATGGTGGCACACACCTTTAATCGCAGCACTCGGGAGGCAGAGGCAGGCGGATCTCTGAGGTTGAGGCCAGCCTGGTCTACAGAGCAAGTTCTTCAAAACTACACAGAGAAACCCTTTCTCAAAAAATAAAAAAAATAAAAAAAGGAATTCTTTAGGTTTGGGATGGCTTCCTGCCCCAATGCTACCTCTTCTCTGGCTTGGATATCCAAAAGAGCCTCAGCTTCCAAGAACAGAACTCAGTTGTCTTCCCAGGGCACACAATCTGTAGCTTCAGGGACCTTAAAATGTCTAGGCAATAAGAAGACTACTCTTAGGGACTATAGTAGGAAGAGGAGATCTATGAGGCCAAGAGGTGAGGCAACCTGGAGTCTGCCTGAGGACCTGATCATGCCTAGCCAATGAGTGGCTACCACTCGGTGATGCCTGAGGGCCTAGCAATAGGTACTGTCAGAAGTCTTGGATCAAACCTAGCCAATAACAGGTGCCAGCACAATGTTACTAGACTGGGACCCAGTGTGGGTGCTGGAAGGAGGGTATATAAGGCTCTCCCAGTTGCTGAATAAACAAGTCTGCTGTCTGTCTTTACCTTACTCCCTGGTGTCTGTGCCGTTGAAACAGCCTTCCCACCCCTTTCCCCAGAGGGAGATGGTAGGACCCAGCATCAAGTTCTAGTCATATTCCTCTCCTCACTTGAGGCACTGGATAGCACCCTCCAACAGTCTGTTTCAGTGAGAAGGTCCCTTGATGTTGTGTGTTCTCAGTCCCTTTGGCAGATAAGCAGTGGGACCCCCTTTTTTCCTTCTTTTGTGTTGTCTGCCTGTCCATGTAGGAAGGCATATTTTTTCTGTTTCCATTCACCCGGCCCCTCCACATAAGGGCTGACCACCCCCCACCAGAAGATAGAGCCAAGGCACTGCCCCTTCTCACCCCCTCCCACGAGGGGGCAGTTAGGACCAGTAACAGACTACCTTTTCCCTAACCAAAAATTCAAATACTTTCACAAAATCCTTCCTTAAAAAAAAAGATCTACTTTAAAATAGGTTATGGTCAGGCGGTGATGGTGCCTACCTTTAATCCCAGTACTTGGGAGGTACAGGCAGGCGGATCTCTGTGAGTTCGAGGCCAACCTGGTCTACAGAGCAAGTTCCAGGACAGCCAGGATTGTAAGACAGAGAAACACTGTCTCAAAAAACCAAACCAAAACAAAACAAAAAACCAGGTTATGACCTATCAGATTAAAAGTTCCTGATGGATGGATTTCCAAAGGAAATTTATTTCTATCTTATACTGCAGTCAGAAATTATACTGACCTCAGCAGCTAAAAAAGCTCTTGTTCTGTTTGCTAGTGATTTTAAATCGTGTGCCAACAACCAATAGTGGCACATGAGGCGCCAGGCATTGCATCTGACCTCACCTCCTAGTCACCTATGAGGTAAGTTCTAATGCAAGGCCATAATTGCTGTCTGCTGTTCTAAAACCAAGGAAGCTCTAAATCCCAAGAGTCATTCCATTCGTACTTGGAAACAAAAATTAATGAACCTGAACTCATTTGGAGGCAAGGCAGCTGTGGACTAACAGAAGGCTATTTAGATTTTAGTTATCCCATTTAATGTGGATATCCATATGATTTACATACATATATGAATGTGTGGATTACTGAGTATGGTCCCAGGTCCCCAAGGTTACTTAATAGACAAAATATATATATACATACACACACACACATTTTAATACTTTCCTAAACCTCCCAAATCTTAGGTCTAAAACATCTGGCCCCAAAGGGGCAAAATACAGTACTATGGGTTTCTAGTATCAACTCACTTCACAGATAAGAGGCTGAGACTCTCAGGGAAAGCAACTCGCCTAAGGCCACACAGTAGGCAGAGGTAGAGCAGACTCTGAGGCTGGGGCCTGTTTCAGGGCCAGAGCTCATGAGCGCCATGGTTCTGTGTCTGCTCACACAGCTTCTGAGAAAGGAGTGCTGTGCCAGCATGGCTCTCCTCCAGAACCAGCTATTTAAAACTCAGGAAACACCAACCACAATGGCAGTGACACAGAAGGGCTGGTGCTTACCTTGCCCAGGACAGTGAGACATGGCTTGGGGTCCAATTCTGGCTGTTCGAGCTTCACCACTCCTACCCAGCCATATTCATACAAGTCCTCTTCATCATTGTTATTACACAGGCCTAGTGGGTGCATCTAAGAGACAAAATGGAAAGAAAATGTCAACAGGCTGGCCACAGACTGGTTTGAGTCCCTCTGTGTGCTTCTCATTGTGTACAAAGCCAAAGCCACCTCAAAACTTTAAGGCAGGGGATAGTTTTTCAATCCACAGGGAATTCCATTTCATTGCAATGAGCTAAGCACTAGAAAGTACACAATAAAACTACCAGAAATAGATATTATAAGGGCTGGAGAAATGACTCAACACTTAAGAGCACTGGCTGTCCCAGAGGACCCAGGTTCAACTCCCAACATGCACATGGAGGTTTACAACTGTGTATAACTCTGGTTCCAAAGGATCTTGATGCCCTCTTCTGGCCTCCATAAGCATTCAGCCCTGCATGTTTTACAAAAACACATACAACCAAAATATCCACATCCATAAAAATTAAATAAAGATATGTTATATGTGCAAATATGTACCCACTCATGTGTATGCACATTTGTGGCTCCATATGGAAGGCAGAGGTTGATGTCAGATGTCTTCTCAATCTCTCTCTCTACCTTATTTGAGAGAGAGTATTGAAGTGAACCTGGAGCTTTTGGGCTAGAATGACTGGCCAGAAAGTCGCAGGGCTCCTCCTGTCTCTGCCTATCCAATGCTGGGATTACAGTTGTATATCACCATGCTTGTTTTTCACATGGTACCGGGGATTGAATTCAAGTCCTCATGTTTACACAGCAAGCACTTTACAGACTGAGCCACATCTCTAGCCCCTATAAATATATTTTATGGCTGCTTTCTCTCTGCCTTGAAAGTAATGGTTGTCCAAGATGGAAACCACCTGATAAGAGGTAAGGAGAGGGGAAAAAAATTCATATAAATGCCAATCTAAATTGCTATAAAATATCATAAATCTAACACTGAGCAATTACAAATGAAAACAGTATGGTATCCTGTTTGGCTTCTAGATCTTAAGGTTACATTAACTTATCCATGAGGGCTGAGAGACACATTTGGGACTTTATGAGAGAACTGGAAATGTGGCAAACCATCAGTATAATTAGCAGGTTAGTTAAAAGACTACAAATGGTTACTGGGAAATAGATGATATTCTTTGAAATCTTTTCAAAATCAACACAGCACAAAATAAAAACTAGATAGGAGTATCAACTTATTTTCTCATATAAGTCTGAAAACAACAGAAATTTCAAGGTTTATGCTTACAGTTTTAGCACTGACTTTTATCAAGCTATTCTGTGGTAATTGTTTCCTAGATTCTTTAAGATACAGTAAGTTCTAAAAGGAAGCTCATTAAAACTCAGAAGTTCTAGGGCTAGAGACTTGGCTCCGTGGTCAGGTTGCTTTTTGCTCCTACAGAGGACCAGGATTTAATTTTCAGCATCCACAAGGCAGTGCGTGATCATCTTTAACACCAGTTTCTGGGGATCAACATCCTCTTCTGGCCTCTGTGGACATGCACACGGTGCATATACATACAAGCAAACATTAATACACATAAAATAAAAATAGATCTTCAGAATAAAAGAAAGACTCAGAAGTTTTAAAGGCAAGATCACTAAGATTCAGGAAGTAAACTTTAGAGTCTCAGGAAGTTCATGAAACTGACCAGATGCACAAGGCACCTCCCTTTCCAAGCTTATGTAAATCATAAAGACTACCAAGGACACAGAGATCAACAATGCTGCCTAGAAGAAGCAGATCTGCCAAACTGCCTGTTAAGAGTCCCAGACTAGCTAAGTAGCCTGGAAAAGATATCCTCTGACCTGCAAGTCAAGCAGTGTGCTCTAGGATTCCAGCTTTTATCAGTTATCACCCATGCTGGGATGGCTTTGGTGGTGCAGCTGTCTTTAAGTCATTTTTGCTCCTGTAAGTGGCCCCAATAAACTCACTGGCTTGCCAACATGGACCTAAGTGGCATCTGTACTTTGGTATGTCCCTCATTTCCTATCGGGGATGAGTAGACAGTTTTTTTTTTAAGATTCTCCAAGGAATAATATAACACACCACAAGCCCCAGAGTCCAAGAGCAATCTGGAAAGAGAAACTTTCCAGATAATTTACCAAGTTATAAGCCTAGCATTGTATATACTAAATTCCCCCCTTTTAATATGTATTTATTATGTATACAAGTGGTTTGCTAGCATGCACATTTGTGCACCCAGTGTGTATTTTGTCTCCTTAGAAGTCACAAGAGGGAGTCAGATTCCCTGGAATTAAGAGTTACAGATGATTGTGAGCTACCACGTGGGTTAAAATCAGATCCTCTGTAAGAGCATCTAATGATTTTAACTGCTGATCCTTTTCTCCAGCCTGATGTGCTAAGCTCTTAGACCAGAAGTAGTAGCATGCACCTTTAATCCCAGCACTTGGGAAGCAGAGGTAAGTAGAGCTCTGTGAGTTTGAGGCCAGCCTGGTCTACCTAGTGAGTTCCAGGACAGCCAGAGCTGAATATATATAGTGAAACCATGTTGTTGTTGTTTTTTTTTTCACACACGGGGGGCGCACACAGGACGGGACACGGATGACAAAGAACCTTCTAAGTTCCACCACAGATAGGATAACCGCTCCAAAGACATCCATATCCTAACCTTCAGGCATAGCACAGTAAGACACTCTGACAGATGTGACTAAGCATGGTGAGATGCAGGTTTCCTGGACTCTCCAGGTAGGCCAATGTACCAAGTGTTGTTTCAAGCCAGTAGACCTGTTATAACTTATAGCACCAAACAGAAAGCTAATGCATATTCCTAACTTATGTTATAGGTGAAAACAAAAGGTCAAAGTAAATGACTCTCTTTTCCAAGACAGCATGGGTAAGCAAGTACACTCAGCCCACTGGACTCTGTCTGCTGACTCCCACTCTGCTCACTTGCTCTGTACCACTCCTCCTGAGAGCTAACCATTTGAGGACTCTAAAAGACAAAAATGTTTCTAGCTTTAAATTGGTAATAGTCAAGGGCAATGTGCTATTTAATGTGGGCAGCAAGAAGAGCTAAGATGCTGAGAGCAAGAGGTGTGTCTGAAGCTGCAGGGCCTCAAAGCAAACTCTGAAGGAAGAGTAGGACTGATCATTCCAAGCGTGGTGAAGAGGGCAAAAGACAGAGGAGGAAGAATGAGAACAGACTGACCAATCGTATAGAAAGTCATAGTCTACAGCAAAACAAAGACAAGGACTTCAAAATTAGAGTAGAGTTTGGACATCAAGATAAGTGGCACACTGAAAACATGAAGCAAATGGGTGACACACTTTCCATGCAGTGCTACACCTGCCCTCCAGAGATGGCAATGAGGGTACAGCCTAGAGATTCTTGGAAGGATTGCAGAGCCTACGGGGCAAGTGAGAAGAGGTCTAAGGGTTCTACAGGGGCTGTCCGCAGCTGTCTTTGTAGTTAGTGAGTACCCAACTCCTGGAAATTCCAAGTCAAGGTTCTGTTTCCTCATGAGCCCTCAGCTTTAAAGTGTTTCCTGTAGGATCAGTGAGGGTTCTGTGGCAAGGTAGACTGTGCAACCTTCCCTCCAGGATGCTCCTGCAGGACTTAGTCTATCATGGAATGTCCTAGTTATTAAATGAAAAGTAGCCTAAAATGCCAAGTCCTCCTACAACAGATGATGATGAACAGGGATCACCAAATTGTACCAACCTATGACCTTCTGGAGAAGGTGAGACTCAGCTCAACCTAACCCAGTTTCAGCTTCTCAAAGTCTCAGGTCAAGTCACTGCAATAGCAACCACATTTGTGACCCTGTTTTACTGTATTCCACATGGTTTGGAGGTTTCCAGACAGACAAATACACTGTTAGGGCAACAGAGGCAGGCATATATATCTTTGTGAATTCAAAGTCAACCTGGTCTACACAGTGAGACCCTGCCTCCTTGCTACTTTCCACCTCCATCTCAATTCCCTACTCCTATTTACTTCCCCAAGTAGTCAATCCTGCACATCCAGTCCTAGCTACAACAGTTAACCAATATAACTGTCCATTTTACTCATCTCCCAAAGATAATATTGTAGAATTCAGGCTGCTGTCAGTTTGCCCCTGACAATAGCATCAGCTTCCAAAAATGCCTGTTGTCCCACACCTACAGCCACTTGTATCGAAGCGTTCTATTTAACCCAAGGGATTCAAGCTACAAGGTCAGAAAATGTTTCTCGAGTAAAGAGAAACAGTCATATGATGAAAATATGCACTAGTAAGCTGACCTGATGCAAAGGATGGTGTCCCTAGGCAAAGGTAGACATCACATGCAAACGAGCATGCTATGTCAGGGGAAAAATGAAGTGGTGGGCTTTTCACCTGAGAGTATGTAGGTTACATTTTAACTTTATTTTGTCTTTACAGCAAACTGTTAGAATATTCAACAATAGTGATTAGACTGTATACAGAAGCTCAAGACTGGAACTGCAAGTCAGCAGTGAAGTCAAATTAATGGTACCATGAAAGTGGGTCAGTCAATGAACAGCTGGATCCCACTCAAAGCCAATGACAAATGATCTAGTTAAGGAATGAAGAACTATGCATGGGTGCTTCCACAGAGAATGATCAAAGCAGAAAGGAACTATGGGAAAAATGAGAGTTCTCTCACTTGGAAAATGGCCCTTGATATTACTGCTGAAGTCAGACATAAATTGAGGGTACCAACATCAACTCAGATAATTCTGAAAATATTCTAACACTGCCCATCCAAGACCCATATATAAGATACTGGGGCTGTAATTAAATTTTAACTTGTTAAAAACAAACTCTTGGCCGAAACCTTGCCTCAGGTTATTGTCCACATTAGCAGTGTCATGTATGGGTTCCATCTCAGAGTGGATCTTAAACAAAAAACAAAATACCTAATTTTTTTTCAGCCCTTTTCAAGACAGTCTCAATCAGACTCATTTATATTATCTAAGAAATATCAGCCACTAATTTAAAAAAATCCAAAACCCCTTCTGGATCGTTCCTAACACACAAATTACTTCACGTAGGACCTGTATGCATTTGACACTTTATCGTTCAAAATTAAT